AGTATCTTATGGATACTATTGTTGCATGGACTGTTGACCATGAACTGTTTGTGAAACCCTTAAGATGTCTGGCTTCTTAACATGCTAATGTCTTCTAGTTCTGTGCTCACTTCTCTGTTTCTGCCTGTCGTAAATGTTGATATATGCTAGGGTTTCATCCTTGGCCAACTGGTCTTTCTGCCAACACTTTGCTTGTATGAGTGAACTTATTTATTTTATTATACTTTAATTATTTGAAAAGGAAATTATTCCCAAGGGAACAACTCCAGTTAAGTCTTTATCTCCCAATAATTCATCTACCCTTGGCTTTCCCTAGGGTCACGTTCACTAGATAAACCTAAAATAGAAACTTTTGCATTACATGCCCAGTCTCTCTTCTCAAACTTCCCTCGTATTCCTGACTACTTCTTCACTCAAGCTAGAGACTGAAAGGCCTCCTGCATATTCCCATCTTTCTCATTTCACATAATCTATTATGAAGTTTTGCTAATTCCCTTCATTTATATTTGTGTGGTTTGTTTTACTGTCACTGCTCAGTATCGTACCCTCTACAACTGTTTTCTAGATAAAGACAAAAAAATGTAATGAATGTTTTTAATGTGTCACGCACCAGGCTTACACTTTATCTGTACCATACAAAATCCCATATAATCCTTACAATATCCCCACATGATAGCATCTGTTATCATTAGAATTTAACTAAGAGAAACAGATCTGAGGCAGTCACATAGGTTAGCCTGATTCAAGAGTCTCACTGGAGCCTTTAACTATTGGCTATCAATTGCAAAGGAATCCTTTGCTTCCATTTTACCCTTCCCAGTTAAATACATTAAAAATGATTTTTTAAAAAAGGTACATTGAATATGTCTTTCTTCTGCTCCACAATATCCTCAAGTCCAAGGTCTTTAGAAGAGCTCACAGAAATCTTCATAACTTTGCCCCTTCTTAATCCACTTGTCTCCTTTTTCCCTAATACCAACTCAAAAATCTATGCACTGGTAATACAACTATTCGTCATTTCCTCCAGAAAGCATGCTTTTCACATTTACTGTCCTGTGGGGAAGCTGGGATTCCTATGGCCAGGATTCTCACTGAACTTAAACCACCTAATGATGTAACTGGCCTGTTGCTAGGCTATCGCTTCCACACCGTTAGGCAATAAGCTATTATTGCGCTATACAGAGAGCTCGGCCCTGTGATCTGGGTAGAGGCAGAGACGTTAGTGCCCGACCTACCACCAGGAGAACAAGACAGGTAATAAACCCTTTCACCCCAAAGAACGTTTTGTTGTCGATTTCTTTGGTCACACTGAATCCATAGTGAACTTGCCCGGGGCTGAAACCCATTGGCAAGACATTTCTCTTCTCAGAACTTTTCTGTAAGTACAACTTTCCAGGTGCCACTAAGTTAGTATCTACTCCAGGTGAGTATCCTTTAGTCCATAACTTAAGTTACCTCTCTACCCCTCTGATGAAAACACTTTACATGTGTCTCTAACACATGCCATAATTTTCACAATGTGATTATATGTTATTTGAAAGGGTGGAGACAGGGTGATCTTCATGTTTTCATCCTCAGTGTCTACTGCACGATCAGGCACATGGGAGGCATTCATTCTGCAGAACTAAACTAAGGTGGACTAAATATTGCAAAGGTCTTTGTCAGCCCCTTCCACAGCCCCCAAATCCAATTTTTTCTTTGGGAATATTGTCTGTTTCACCTAAACATGTATTTTAGTTTCATCTTTTATCTTCTTTCTTTCTGATAGATGTATTCTAGGTCAATTCCTTATTCCTTTAGTTCTACTTTAAAAAATATCCACAAATCTTACTATTCTGCCTCTGATTTTCTCTTCTTCACACTCAGCAATGGTTCTTCAGTGCTGGGGACCTTGAGGAGCTTGTCCCAATGTGGATAAAATGAGAGTTCCTGTGGCCAGGATTCTCACCTGGCCGTGGTTGACTAGCTTGACTGCACACTTGTGGGCAATACATGGATATTAACTCTATAAAAAGAGCTCTGGGCATGACACGGTGGCATGGCTGCAAGGCTGTAGGAGAGCAGAGCAGAGGCTGGAGTGGTGGCAGCACCGAGGACAGAGGCCCAGAGAATGGCCGTGCAAGACAACTGTGCAGAGAGGCCCAGAGGACAGCTGTGTGGGATGACTGTGCAGGCAGAGAGGCCCAGAGGATGGCTGTGCGGGATGGCTGTGTGGACAGAGGGGCCCAGAGGCAGAGACTGTCTTGCTGCACGCAGACTCGCTCTGAGTGAACGGGATTCTAGCGACTGACCTGCCACCTAGAAATAAAGTTAGGTATAACAGTTTCACCCCCAAGAATGCTTTGCTGTCATTTTCTTTGGTCACACTGAATCCATAGCGAACTTGCCCGGGGCTGAAACCCATTGCCAAGACACCCAACCTCTGAGATTCAGATTTGGTTAAGTGTGTGGTGGGCAGAAGGGATACACACTTTTAATAAGTATTCCAGGTACTTGAATAGCGTGTGGTCCTTATATCACAGATGGAGACACTCTGCTCTATCAATAAAATTTCTTCTTAAAACTCAAATATGATCAACTTATTACCTGTTGAAATTTTCATATATCTTTCATCTAAACTCTATTATAAAATCATTGATGTGGCATAGAACTCCCATTGAAGAACATCTGGCACACTGTCCCTACCCTTCAACTCCTTGTATCCTGATTCTTTGTGTATCACATATAGTCTATGCCGTAAATATGCCAGATGCTTTCCTATGCCCTCACTTGGAAACTAAAATGATTTTGTTTATGCTCCATCTGCCTGTCTGCAGTTCCTTTTGAACCATTCTTCAACTAGTAAACTCCTACTCATCCTTCAAGCTGTAACTGGATTAGTACTTTCTTGGGGAATTGTCTGCCTTCACCTCTATCCTTCTTATTTTGACCAAAATCATTGCTCCCCTCTGTTTCCTGGCATCAGTATTTTTCACAGCTATCTAGAAAGATGCTCAGATTATGGAAAGTCTTTACTTAACTTGGACATTAATTTAACTCTTTACTTTACATCTTGTCTGGTGTCTCTTGACCTAGAAAGTATAAAATTGAGAGATCCTATATATTGTTTACATCATTATCCCAGACCAGGAATGGTTTTACTTATTTTTGTACTCTTTTAAGCTTTCTTCAAACAGAGGAAGATGGATGCCTCTTCCCACAGTGACAAGCAGTTTAAGTGTGAAAAGAGTTGTGTGAAGGGAAGCCAATGTATGTGGATATCAGCACATTGGCATGTTTTTCCCAAACGTTTTTAGATTGTCACTTCCAAATAAGAGTTTATTTTCTTTCAGGTTTTAGGAAAATTTTATCTAATCCTAGAACAATGGAACTGTGCCTTATGGAAAGACAAAAGTTGTGTTGGAAGTTTAAAAAATGCCAGAGTCACCACTATCTGAGCCCTCTGTTCAGTATCTGTCATTATTTTCAATTCTGACAGACTTGGCACTTGAAGAGGGTCTACTGCCTCCTGTGACATAATGTGGGAAGAAGTTAGAGATACAAAGTAACAAGGCATGCATAGAAAAGCCAGCCAGTCACTCTTCTCTTCTTCCACCCTCCCTCCTGACCCCCTATCCTAACCCATCAACTATTATCAGAAGCCACAAATTTAAATTCATGTGAAAATCGTGTTCCCTCATTAAAAACACAGTGTTTGTGAAATCGATGTTTATTAGTGAAGCCTTTCTAAACCTTTATTTAGATTCCACAACTTAGAGCTCTGAAATTGATCACTGATCTTAAAATTGTCAACCTTTCTTTACTTTCTGGAGTTGTACAAGGAATGTAAGTCTTGTGTCTGTTTAGAATCGGAAAAGATAGATGAGCGGGAGAATTTTTGAGTCATCATTTTCTGGAGGATGTTTTAAAGATAAGTGAGAATAGTTGTTAAAATATAAATCACAAAATTATTTGGCTGAAATAGATGGCAATTATATTGTCCAACAAGGGAACTGAAAATAAGAGGAAGCATTTATAGCCATGGAACAAACTAAGTGAGAAAGTTCAAGGACACTTATTTAGCCATTAGATTTGGAATGTTAAAGAAGAACAGTATCCAACTATTATCAGATTGTAAGTGGCTGAAAAGCTGTGAATTATGCCGTGTTTATCTCAGAGCACCCAGAGATCCTTATGTAGATGGTGAGGAGTGGGGTAGTGATGTATTGTCCAAAACTTCAGATTTAATTTATATTATTCTTATTTACAGCCGTAGCATAGAAAAAAACAAGAGATGAATGCTGACCTGTAGTTATTCGTAGGACTGAGTTTGCTCACTTGCTTAGGATGTTGAAGGTTAGTTACTTCCCAGTTTGGAAAAGCAAAGGGCACCTTATGTGCACTGAAATCCCTGTGCCAAATCTGTTTAAAAACCCTGATACCATTTGGTGTCGAACTGAAAAGACTTTCTGATTTGGGGTGTGTATTAGTGTCTTTCTGCATCACAAAGTACTCATGAAGAGTTGTGAGTGCATTGAACATAGTAAAGGAATAAGCCTAATTTACACAGTCATCGATTGTTTTAAAATGAAAGGCTCCCTTTCTTTTAACAACAATCATTTCTCTGGCATTTCAGTTTATTTTCCACTCACACTGCGAATGACACTTCTTTCAGGGTTTCTGGTTTCTTTAGGGATTTAACCTACAGAGCATGTAGAGCAAACAATGAAATAGCTGCTTTCAGTGAATAGAAAGAGCGGGTGTGTTTTTCACCCCCACACCTACTGCATCACTGCCTCATCACAACTTCTGGATTTCCAGCCGGGTTGGAGACGCCGCCACCCCTATCCCTGGCTCCCCAGCTCGGCACTTCGGAGCTGTCTCCAGCCGCCGCGTGCGGTTCTGTTCTTCCTCAGCGCTGGCTTCCGACGGCACTAGGACCCAGAGAAGTCCCTGAGCGAGGTTCGCGGAAAGGCAGCCAGACTCCTCCTTATCTCCAGTGTCAAACTTGACATCAGCCTGCGAGCGGAGCATGGTAACTTCTCCAGCAATCAGAGCGCTCCCCCTCACATCAGTGGCATGCTTCATGGAGATATGCTCCTCTCACTGCCCTCTGCTTCAGCAACATGGATTGTCACCTCTCCATCCTCCTCCTCAGCTGCTCTCTTCTCAGCTGCTTCGGGGAACTGATTCTCCAACCTTCCAATGAAGGTAAGCCAGGTACTGCGAAGCCCAAGGTCCTGCCCCGCGGGGTTTAACGCTCTCCAAAGCACGTTCTCACTGAAGCCCTCTCAGGTCCTTAAGGTGCCTCAGAATAAGGCAGTTAGCTCTGCGAGTAAACTAAAGGTGTGCTTGTATTTTTCTGTTGTCTTCTGAAACACTTTGAGACAATTTTGGATTGCTTAAATCTAAAATGTGTTTTAATCTGATGCCAATTCAAGTAATTCCGTTTTTTTTGTGCCAATTTTAAGCAGAAAGAGAGAGAGACAGAGAGACAGAGAGAGAGAGAGAGAGAGAGAGAGAGAGAGAGAGAGAGAGAGAGAGAGAGAGAGAGAGACTCCAATTTTGCAATCAAGGATGTTAACTGACAAACAGCCATGGCAGTATTATTTCCTAATTAAGACTATGTAGTACTTTAAGAAGTTTGAACGAAAATACAGCCCTCCTCTCTGGATTCTATAGTATGTTTAAAGGTAATGACAGGTAATTCCTATTTAGGATTACGGCATGTATGAATGGACTAAGGGGGAATCAGAGTTTTTTGAAGCGGAGGGGTGTGTGTGTGAGTGTGTGTGTGTGTGTGTGCACGAGCGCGTGTGCGTGTTTATGTTACATTTGCTGTATTGAAGTAATGTGTATCCCGCCAGGCGATGGTTCGCTCTATGGTAAAGGTTCTAATGAGCAGCATATGCCACATTAACATAAGTAATATTTGCAGGAATTACAATAAACTTAGGTTGGATTCTCTTTGTTTATGGGCTTATGTACGAAAAGGAGAATGCATTTAATGAATTGTGAAAAGCTCCTGGGTAGATATAGTAAATAACTGAATAGCAAATTAAGAAAGAATGTCCATAAGCACAAATGGCATTTTCCTGATGTTGGGTTATTTATTTTCCTTGTAATGGGCATTCATCCCCTTTCAATGTATTAAAGTGCAAACGTAATATTAAGGACACCAGGGTTTCCTATGAGTGTGTACTTGATAAATACATTGCCTTTTTCCTGTACACCTTTTGTGATCTATTCCTAATGATTAGTGGATATTATCATTAACTCTAAAGACAAACTTCTCTGAATAATGGATTGCTTTAAAGCAATACTTAGAACTTGGATTTCCTCTTAATCATTTTGAACTTAAAACAGTAACATTTATCAATTTATTTTGCAATTTAACAATACTGAACAATTGATGTGCAAATGATTCATTTTATATTATGTTGCTAAAAATATATTGGCAAGCCAATACTGTTGTATGTTATATACATCATTTTAAAAAACACAAGTAAAAACTCAAAATATACAGTTAACTTTTTAATTAAATCTAAAAACTGTCTCATATTCGTTGACCTACTTTCACTACTAATAGAGCAGATTAAATTTCATTCTTAGTTACTGCCTTAATCAGTTTGGCAGATTTCATAAATTATCTCTTTTTTAAATTGGGAAATGGAAAATCCTAAAATATAAGGACCAAGGAAATCAACTGCCTTATGAGTGACTTTTTTTTTTACAAATCAAATTAAAATGTTTATTTGAAAGTACTGGTTAATCATTCATCATGAAATAAAGGCAAGACTGGTCATCTGTATAAAGAGTAACATCAATAAGTTAAAATTGGTGTTTAATCTTTCTGTTTTTAAAGATATTAAAGTATTGACTAACTACAAAATAATAATACTATTTCCATATTGCTAAGATAAATTACACTTCTCCAGAAGGAATACTTACAAACTATTTAAACAATGGATTTTACTGAATTCATAATGCACAGGGATATATATCTGAGAGTCAGTATTTTTGTGGAAAACACAACCTTTCAGTAAATTGCAAGATAATAAAAGAGCTTTCAAACTTACACTTTTATAAAATTAATGAATATTAATTTAATGAAATAAGAATAATTAAATGCAAATTGATTTTAAACAACACCTTGCATATGTTTGGTTATATAATGCATATTATTATACAGGTAGGTGCATACTAACAATATACATATAGAAACATAAATATATTAAGAAAACTGGCATAATTGAATTTAATTTGTTTTTGTGAAAGTTTATCCATTGTTCCTGGGCTCATTCTTTCTTATGGGTAGTATCCCCTTTCCTTTCTGAGGTCATGAAGGGAAGCTTTGAAACAAAATTTTAAATGGATGATTTAACTCTGATAACATTTGAATGAAGTTTTAAATATTAATACAGTAGGTTAGATCTTATTTGAGTTGAGCAACATGAAAAGTGAAAAAATCCAAGTATGTGCCAAGATTTCCATCCAATTCTTTTAACAATGTCATTTGAATAGAAAGCAAGCTCCTGAAACTTCATATATTGGGTGGAAGGAATAATAAAATGAATCTCATTAATATATCTCTCATATGTATTTGGAGAACTGAAATATAAAATACTAGGTTGAATTTACAATATTATGCTAAATATTATATTTCAACATTGTAGAAAATTTATTAAATATTTAAAAGTAAAATTTAGTAGAATTTATTCAGCAATCTAATAGGAAGTGAGGCATGATAGAACTAAGAAGGAACAAAATCAAGCCATTGACTTAATTGCTAGGAAACTTGCCATAATATGATTTGTTTTTTAAACTTAAGATTTGATCATTACAATCCCATGTGTCCATAAGAAAAAAAACTTAGAAAAAGCTTAATAAGAACTTCTGTTTTATTACTCTAATTACAAATAACTTTCTAATATGCTTTCAAGAAAATGATTCTGGTTAATATGTATCATTGGCTTCCCCAATGATAACAGATTATTCATAAATCAATGATTTTACATACAGATTGGTCAATATATGTAAATAGAAATTTTATAAAAGTTGCATAAAACTTTATTAAAATCTCATCAGTTCTCTCTGTTTACATGACATGCTAAGAAAGATTTCAAATTGGAAATCAACTACTTTTCATGTCAAAATAGGATTGGTACATTAGTTATTATTAGAAAAGTTCATATTGTTACTCCCTGTTTCCTACTCCAAATCGATGATGATAATGGTAAATAGAAACAACTTTGAAAGTGGTTAAAACTTGACGCAAAGTTAAGTATCAACTATTATTACCTCATTTTCTTTTGGTATTGGATAAAGTACTTTCTTTAAACACTTTTCTACATATAAAGCAGTCTGAGGCAGAATGCACTGCTTTTTCATCAGGACATAATACACTAAATCATTTTTCTCTCAAAAAATGATTGCAAATTGGATTAGCATTTACACATATAGCTCTTTACAATGGAAATTAGAGTTTGCAAAATAAAAATGAATAAAACTGCACTTGCATATTTACAGTATCACATATTTTGGGAAACTTTCATTGGAGTGGCTGGGACACCAGTTCTTTGAAAAATATCTCACTAAACATAAATCTCCTAAGTACTAGAGTAGACTGTGATTCTTTAAAGCCTGAAGTAAAAACTTGCAGATGAACACTGTATCCTTCCCTTTGAATATCAGGCAAATGTTGGAAACAATAAACATTTAAATAATGGATTCCTCCCTTTTAAAAAATTACTATGAATTGGCATCACTTGTCATATATAAACAAATCCTCAAATATAATACATTGTGATTGAAACATTAATAGAGAACTAAGCTATCATATCATCTTTATAGGCTTTTTTTTTTTGAAGAGGGTTTACATTTGCTTTTAATAGCATTTCATCATGCTAGACTAAATAATTGAATGCACTATACATTTTTGTAACTTAATAGCTCTTCTAATAGCTTGCCCTTACTTCCCCCCATCCAACAGTTATAACTGTGCTATTTGCCTGAAGGTAGGAGAAACCTTAATTTCACTATTTTATAACCCACAACAGTTAACACTTGACCTAGGTCATTAACAGGATTATCAGCAAATTTGTTTAAGCTTTTACTGACAACCTGAATTGCTACGATAATATTTTGATTGTGCCGGAAAGAAACTTCTTGTAACCTCTCAAAATCTATCATGAAATTAATTCATTCTGAATCTATATCTTCCCAAAGATTCATATTGATAACAATAACTCAACAGGTTAAGTGTTCAAGTTTCCTTACACCCATTCTCCTCTTGTGCTTCATACATCACACCATTCTAGTCCTTACACTAAGTGAGCAATTAAAACTATTTTCAATAGTAAATATTCTGCCAATAACAAATCTTTATGAACACAAACCAGCTTCATTGTAACTACCAACATTTTCAAATTTATATTTTTTAATTATAGGTGCTGTAGTTATCAGTTTTCTGCGTATTTTAAGATATAAAGTCAATTGGTTATATTTATAACTCAGAAGCAACTGAAACTATAAAAGGGAAAGTATGTATAATAAAACACTATTGCTACATGTTAGATCATAGTTGAATTTTATATAAAGTTGTCTTTTCCATGAAACACTAGATATTGGGAGTTAAAATGAAAAGCACTTAAAATTAATATAAAACTTTAAACAAAGTGATGTACACAATCAGAACTTAAGGGTATTTTTTAAACATTGTTTAGTGGGTGGGTTCAAGAAGTTTCCTGTAAAGCTTTTTTATTACTTGAATTTAATTAAAGTTTGCTTCTTGTTCATATAAACAATTTAGCAGTTTCACCTTGACTCAGGAAATTTATTATCCTTAAAGAATGGATTTAGTAAGATTATCATATTTATATATTATCCACATTTTCATATTCAAATTTTGGTATGTTCTTTAGGGTCCCTCATTTTTAATAGTGTCTTACAATAATTTTCCTTATAAAGATCCCTAAATGTTAAAATTGCTTCTGAAACTTCAGAATTTTTCTGAAATGAAATATATGTAATTTTTAAATATCAAATAATCAGTTACATATGCAAAGGATTTTAAGGGAAAAACATTTCCACAGTATATTTGATTTACTAACTTCAACACAAATGGAAACAGCAAGAACTGTTCTTGAGAGTTACATTTTCCAAGTCATAAAATCTTCAAGAAAGTATTAATAAAACTTTCCACAAATCAT